GAGATTCATTTTTATTTTCAAGGTATAAATCTCCATCAATTAACAACGAACTACGTTTACACTTTTCGAGTAATATCATAAGGGATTTTCGTGGATATTATAGTAATTTAATAGTTGAGTTCATGAGTCATTTGAACGTAGAACACCATTAAAAAATTGGAAATACTGGAAGGCCATTTCGTCCTAGTAAGGGACTCCTCAGAAGTGCTCATTCACGATCCTGCCTTGCGAGAACCGAACCCAAGACCTATGGGTCTCGCGCGCAAACGCTTAACCTCTAGACCACTAAGCCATCATCTAACGGTGTTATTTTATAGGATGTAATGTGGCATACTAATATCTTTCATAGAGTACCTAATATTAATGGTCATTTTGGTCTTTAAGAATCAAACACATATAGGAAGATCGATACTAAATCTGAATGATGAGTTGTAATGAGAAAGACAAGTAAGTCATGGTAGGTTTCCTTTTAAATATCTCAAACAATATGAAATAGATTACACTTCCCAAGTTCATGATATCACACATCTTACTTTTAAAAAATTTTAGTGACTGTGTTAATATTGGTCATTGAACAGTTTAAAACCAAATAATCTTCAGCATTAATTTATGATAATAATATGAACTATAACTACTTGTAAGTTTAACACTTTTTAAGTAAATTTCAGCCTCTTTCATCAACTATTATGCAATCAGAAATTGATTTCTTTTATGTTTTGACACTAATAAATTATCAAAAGCATTAAACAATTGTTTTAATTCTGTTTTGAAACTCTTAAGCAATATAAACTATACTGGGTCAAACCAAGAACTTCCTCATTATAGGGTTGTGGAGATTACTAAGTTTTTATTCGAGATCATGAACTGATTGATGTTAGCTGGAACGTGGATGTGTACTACTGAGGAGTCCCACAATAGAAGGAATCGGCTGTCCACTGCTTCCAGGTTTTTAATAGCGGTCTAACATTAATCGGTTCATGGTCTCAATCAATAACTTTCTACTAAAGCGGTATCGATGATGTATTTAGATTATAGGAATTGTATACTATAGGATGAATTCCTTGTATGATTATAATTATGGACTAATGAAGTATCTCAGACTAAACCAATACAATTATCCACTGCATTCTATTTAGAAATAACAATCTTTTAAAGTGAAAACGTGAAATTATTTCAATTCCGTCCAATATAATGATTTTTCTGAAGTAATGATATTATTTTATAATACCAGTCAACTAAGTTCACTCCATCTTTTTCAACGGTGAATCTATTTCACTTTGCATATAAGTGAATACCTCTATTTGTTAAACATGAACTGACGAAGTTTACCATTGCAGTCTTTAATCTGATATCAAACAGTTTTTGACTAAAATACATAGCATTACTGAAATTTACCTAACTGTCTCAATTGTATAATGAATAGGACGAAACGCGCGTCCTGGATTCCACCGATAACCACCATCCATCTTTGCTTATAATGCTTGTGAATTAAGGCAATATCGAGGCAATACGCACGGTATACACATATTCCAAAGAGAGGCTGATCAATTGCCGTCCTAATCATTAATGGGAAGATTCAAGTAAACAATGTCAAGTGAATATAATAAATTCTTATTTGTCTAGACATAGTTAAGTTTATCTAAACTCACTTGGTATTGTTTACTTGTATCTTCTCATTGTTGCTTTGGGATTGCAATTGATCAGTCTCTTGTTATTATATGTGTATCCTATGCAAACGGCATCGACTTTGCCTCAAGTCACGAAAACATGTTATTTAAATGCAATTACTTCTAACTTATTTTTTCTTTGTCTATTTAAATGATGATGTGAGTGATTTAAATATATAAATTCGATGGGAGCCGATAAGTAATAATCATGTTTGATTGCGAAATAGTACTCTCTTCAGTCTTTGTTTGGAATAGACCAATTGGTTAACTTTACAGATTATGGCTTGCCACCAGAATTCTAGAAATCGATTTCTTAAATGTAGCCGACTATAAACACAAGTTTAGTCTTAATAATCATATGATCGCTGGTGACTAGTTTGAAGTCGTGATTCCTCCAGTTCTAATAAGAAGTCGTAACCAATAAAATCCAAACTTGTCGCGGGTGAACAATTTATCCATAGAATGTAGTGAAAAATGGTTGCGCAATATCGTGAATTGATTAAAATTAAACATATGCACTACTAGATGTAGAGATTGAGCGTTCGAGCTGAAGTTCGAAGATCATAAGCAAAGTTCCCCATGAGGTCGTGGACGCATACTGTTCAAACGTCCCATATTGGGATGAAATAGCCATTCGATGCTTCCCAATTTTCAATAGTGACCTAACAAACTTCACTTCAAAGTTAAATAATAAAATCCTACAATCTCCATAAAACATACAAGTTTATTCATTTAAAGATATGGTATAATCCTTTCTCTTGGTAAAACTTATCAGAAATTAAATTTTTTATCTAAAACCTAAAAGACAAGAAAACGTTTGCTTCACATCCCATTGTGTTTACCAATTTAAGTGTGTGTGTGTGTGTGTATGGTCACATATACATAGGGAGGGGTAATCGTGATCTCAAAATTAGTATGTGTGAACATGTACTTAAATGATTGCAAAAACAAATAGAATCAGATGACCCATCCTCTATTGCCAAACGCATCATTGAAAAAGGTCATAAGATTGATCATAACTCGGTTTTTGTGTAGTGTTGTACAAAAGTTCAAGAGGGCGTATGCTAAGGTTTATTTAAGCCTTAGCCATAAGAAAATTCAACCCCCTTCTGTGTATTCAAAAACAGTTTGTTCTCAACATAAATCTACCCTTGTAATGTTAGCTAATTATCCAGAGTGTTGAGGTTTCAAATTGTTTTTACATTATTCACATTATCCTTGTCTTCTCTTACCTTCCATTTCAAATCTAGTTGACCTTAGCATTTATATAATATGTGATCAGATTGTTCGAAATGTATTGCGCTAATATATCGTCACATAGTTCCGATAATGTTCATCTTCTTATTACATTATCGAAATTTATCAAAGGTACTTATTACGTTAAATTGATTATTAAGAACAGACAACATAAATCAGTATTAATTTAGTATAAATTTTACATTATCTTTCAGAGCTCTAAATGAACTTCCATGGGTTTGGTATCAAATTCATTGTGCTTGAATCATCATAACGATCAGCTTTACATTGTACTAAAGTTTTTCCTAATTTCGAACTATATATATATGTAGCAACAACCAACTGTAGGAAAGAACAAACTAATTCCCAGTGGAGGAAGAAATCAGGAAGAAGCACTGGAAGTGGATGGTGCACACATTGAGGAAAGCACCGAACTACGTAACAAGACAAGCCCTCACATGGAATCCTGTAGGCCAAAGGAAAAGAGGAAGACCAACGAACACATTACGCCGAGAAATGGAGATAGACATGAGAAAAATGAACAAGAATTGGATGCAATTAGAAAAGAAGGCCCAGGACAGAGTGGGTTGGAGAATACTGGTCAGCGGCCTATACTCCATTAGGAGCAACAGGCGTAAGTATGTATATATAATGAGGCTTTTTATGTTATAAAAAAGAAAAGAAAGTGTACCATTTGAATTTCATCATCTTTTTTTTTCTCTAATAATTTATCATTACGGTCTAAAGTTTTAACTTGAAATGAAAAATCAGTGAAAGATATAGTGAATTTAAAGTCATGGCAGTAGAATTCAAAACGCAAGTTTCATTCAGCTCGTTATACCTACAGAATATATTTAGTTAGAATTATTTGTTTTATGGTGAAGTGTTGTTCTGTGAGCTAGATGATTTGATCGTGGAATTTTTATTGTTCTTTTGAATAATATTATCAGCACAAAACCTCTACCTGATAACATTGATGAGAAGAACAATGAAAGTTCAACGATTAAACTGTCGAGTGCAGAAAATGAAATTCCGCTAAAATCATCTACCAGCGCTACAAACCTTCTGTATCATTTCAGAATTATTACTTTATTTATTTGTCTGAGATTTTGAAAATGTCGAAGTAGTTAGTGTGAAATGAGTACTCGAATTAATCTGTTGATCCACTGAAATGACGATGAAAACGGTAGTAATAAATGAAGCGCGAGAGAAGTAATGATCCTATTACTAATTAGACAAAATATTCATTCGAATATTACGTAATGTGTTATATCACATCAATGGTATAAGCGATATTGATATGAACTGAGTGCTGAATAAATTATTTAAATGAACAAGGGGATCAAATAAATTAAATTTATGATATGACCATTGGTTCATTGAGTCTGAGTATAACTAAATTAAGAAAGGTAGTTGAATACACGATTTTTGGATGTAGAGCTTCAGTTTCTTATCGTTTATGGCTATTGCTCCTCCCATTTAAAGTGTTCTGTGTTTGATCGCTATAGTAGATTAGTACTATTACGATAAACTATGGAATTGGTTGCTTTTTTTCTAAATTTATAGGCTTTTTGAACAATGTAGGCGACAATTGAACAGTTTGCGGTTAAAGATAAACCTATGGTTATTCACCCTAGAAGATACTCACAAATTTAATATGCTTTTGAGAAGTGATTACATACAAAAGTAAACAATGTCAGTCGTTGGTTACACAAAATCTAATAGATGGACTATATAAACTGTTCATATCCTTCTTTATCTATCAGCATAACAAATATCATCTGTAACCATATAAACTAACACTTTCCATTAGTTATCCTCAACCAAAGTGAAAAATAGTTTAATCCAATCTTCATTAAATGGATATAGATGTTAAATTCATGCAAATTGTAGTATTATAATTTACATTATGAAATCTAACTAAGTAAATAGATGAGTTGAAATCATGAGTCAGTTCAAGCTAGACCACCATAGAAAACCTGAAACTTCAATTGCCTCATGATTTCAATAAGTGAAATTTCTAAACGTTTCCACAAAAGCCATTCTTATCAAAATAGATGAGTTGTTAGATCAAAAAAATGTTTCTTTTTTGTTTACCTTTGGTATTACATTGTCATACAAATTCATATCTTTCGTCATTGATATTTGATATGCGTTTGACTTGAAATTGTTAGGTGAATACAATATATTCTGTTTTGTTTCATTTGCTTCATTGCTACTAATTAATGGTTTACTATATATATAAGATTGTACTGTTGGACAAGTACAAGTAGTTGAATAATTTATTTCTACATCATTTATTGATGAATATAATCCATTTGATTGAAAAGTATTTATTGGTACAATGGTTGGTTGTAAATAATTCATTGTATCCTGTTGATTAGATATAGAAGGGATATTGAATTTTTCTTTTACACACTTATTATGTAATATAGTTTCTGGTGTATGAATTATTTCTGTTTCACCAGCTAACATAGCATTATCAACTTCATGTCTCCATCTAGTAATAGCACCAAATTTTTCACGCCATAATTCTGTATGAATTAAATGATCATTTAGATGATCATTTGAATCATTTTCTTCTGCTTCTTCTTCTTCATCATCATCATCATCATAATTATGATCTTTAATAATCTCTATAGGATTTTTATGATATTGAAATTCAGGTAATAATTGAACTTTTTGAATAGAATTTTGATGTTTTATATCATTTTTATAATCATTAAAATATAATGGATTATTAGTTTTAGGATATGATAATCTCCCAGATACAGTAGCTAATACATGTTCTTCATATCGTTGAGCTGCTGGTGAAAGTGACATTTTTAATTTAGAATTCATTTGTTCATTTTCATGATTATCATCATGATCATCTATGCAGTTTTCTTCATCATCATCATTTATATAAGAATCATAGATAATCCTTTGTGATAATGATAAATTATTTACTTCAGTGAATGGTACTAGATAACTTCTTAGTTTCTGTGTAGTTTCATCTTTTGTTTGATTATGATTCAATAATTCAATAGATGAATGATAATCATTCTCAATTCGTTTTGTATCTATGAAATTAGATGTTGTAATTGAAGGATTAATAAATGATAAAGTAGTATGTTTCAAATGATCATTAGAAATTTGCTTTGATTTTTTATTCGATGAAATATGTTTAATTTTTTTAGAAAATGATTCTGATCTATCAATTCCAATTAATGGTGAATCATTTTTTCGATCTAAATTTAATCGATTCGAATTTGTTAAATAAGATCTTGAATCATGATATATTGGTATAATAAAATGATGAATCAATGGTGTATTTGGTTGTTTAAATGATTTATTTAATTTTTTTAGAAATTGATTATTTTTTTGAATATTTAATTTTGACCAATCAGAATGTTTGTTTAAATGATTATTCTTATTATTATCATCATCATCATCATTTGTCTGTGTTATATAATCAATAAATGTGTAGGGGTGATTTTTTTTTGTATTTTTGATTATATGATCATTATCAGTATGTGGATTAATTCCTTGAAGATGATCTGATGATATACTAGAAGATAGATTGATTTTATGATTATGATTTTGAAATCGGATACAATGACGTTTTAATGTCAGCGATTGAGGACGTAAATATTCATGATAATAATTGAAATATTTTTCTTTATTATAATTAGAAAATTCTATATTACTTCGACATAAACGTTTTTCATTGAATATCATTTGTTTCATTGAATTATTTGAATTGATTTTATGATAATCATGATGATCATCATCATGATCTTTAGTTGTTTGTGTATTTTCAGTAAGAGTTAATGTTGAATTAGAATAGTGATCATTTAATTGATCTGGATCAGATATTTGATCACAATTTTGTTCATTATTATTATTATTATCATTATTATCTAATTCATGATCAGTCATTAAACGAATAAATGAAGGTGAATATCCTTTACCTATATATTTTATTTTATTATTATTATTATTATTATTATTATTATTATCTAATTGATTAATTTTTTTAGGAAATGATTCTGATTGATTTATATTAGAATCAATAATTGATGAATTATTACTATGATTTGATGAAATTGGGCTTATACACATAGATGAAGCTTTGAATTGTGAAGTTTTTCTTAAATATTCATGATATTGTGTTTTATTTTTATTTTCAGAATTTCGATATGTACAATCAACACTACTAGATCTTAAACATAGATCGTTTACTTTATTAGACATATCTCTAGTAAAAGATTGTGTCATTGAATGATCATGTATAGTTTTATTTCTTCTAATTCTTGGTGGTTTAGGTCTAAAATAATTTTCCCAACAACGTTTAGCTAATTCAACTTTATTTAGATTTGTATGATTATTATTCATTTGATCTAATAGAAATTGATTAGTAGATTCAACTTTTCGTTCATTTGACATAACAGATTGATGATTAGTCTTTTTTGTTTTCCTATCTAAAGTATTATTGAATGTAGTAGTAATAGTAGTAGTACTACTACTACTATTATTCAATAGATTGACTTGATTCGAATTGTTATGATCATTTATCAATCTTTCATTAAGACATGATTGATCTGGTAAATTTAAAAGATTACTACTATCATCAAATGAAGTTGGCTTCAATGATTTAGAACAAGTTTCTTGATCATTTAAATTGATTCTCCTTTTTAATTTTTGTTTCATATTGTTTTCTTTAAGATGTTGACATTGAACAAGTGTTGTTAATAAACTTTCTTCACTATACTGTGATAGATTTGATTTAGATATTGAATTATTTTTTATTTTATTTATGAAACCATTTTCTGTAGAAACGTTCTCATTAGCTATGAGTAACCTATCGAATTCAGAATGTGAAACACTTTCTGCTATTAATGATTGTGGTGGACTATGAAGCCAATATTTTGGAGATAATTCATTTGTAATTTTTTCATCTATTTTAACAGGATATCTTTTCAAATCTGTAGTCTCAATATTATTACTCTGGATAGTTCTATTGTTGTTAGAATTTTCAACAGTTACATAACTTCGATGAGGTACAGCTGGTGCAGATGTTCTTCGTGATTGATTTTTTACTGGACTAAGATCTGGAGCTGGATTAGGTGGTGCAGGTAATGAAGGTGGAAACATTTGTCTTTGACTTGTTGATGTACTTGAAGATGTAGAAAATCTCTGACAATAAACGAAAAAGTTGGAATGAGTTGCGTACTTTAAAACTTTCAGTAGATAAATTAACTACTTTTAGTGATATTTAAATAAATTATTCGGTACTTTTGCAATTCACCTTTACTTGAATGTTTAATGATTATGCTAAAAGTTCTAACTTATAATTTTCAAAATGTTATCTTGCTCTGAAATTCAAATCGATAAGTGTATGGAAATCAATAAGATCTTGATGGTTTGTTTTCTGAGTCCAGGTATTCATTAGCCGCTCAATGTAGAATGTTTACTCATCAGTTTAAGTGTTTTTAGAGTAATCAAGATCAAGTGAATAGTAAACTCACTAAGATGATGCTTATGATTACTATCAATTGGAATTAAGTACAAAGAAAGATACCGTTGCTAAACCTTCAGCGCTAATAATCACAAATTCGTATATCTGGATTAGATTCATTCGTTCATTCAACGGGTATTATTATTACTATTATTATTATTACTGCTCACGATCCCACTCTTAATCGTACATAATGTATGTGTATTTATGTGAGATTTTTGCATTGAGTTGTAGCTCTTCATGTTTACAGTGATGTTCTGCAATCATTTTCAATTACTTTCCCAACTACACTATTCACTAAACCTTTATATTCATTAAAATATTTTCGGTTCATTAAGATATCAAAGCTAAAAAAATACATATTCGTTTTTATGAATTTTCTATTACTCAATGATGTCACCTGGAGATAATGAATGATAAGTGGCTAGTTTGAAAGTCATTAAATGAGATAAAGCTACTGATGGTAGAAGAGTTAAACATATATTTAAATCAGAGAGAGGTTTTGTGGATATTTTAGTGATTTTTAATGGTTGAACTCATCAGTCATTTGAAGCTAAACAAACATGGAAAACCTGGAATCACTGGACGGCCGTTTCTTCCAAGTATGGGACTCCACAGCAGTGCACAACCACGAGCTCGCTTCGCGAAATTCCAAACCAGGACCTATCGGTCTCACGGACGAGCGCTTAGCCTCTAGACCACTAGTGACGGTCTTTAAGAGATATTTCCTGGAGTTCTAGTGAGAAGCAATGACCAGTGGAGTTCAACCGGGTCTGTTGTGAGAAAGCAGCTCACTGATGACAACGGTGGATTTTTCGTTCGATTTCATGGATTAGTCAAAGTTAAACGGCCGCCCAGTGTTTCCAGGTTTTCCATGGTGCTCTAGCTTTAATTGACTGATGAGTTCAACTATTAAAAATTACATATTGAAATATTCAAAGATTGGTCTAAAGTAATTTCTAACGCTTTATTAAATTGAAACAATATGGACTAATAAAACTTACAGTATAGTTGATGCTGCACAAAACTCATAACTGTTTAACAACCGGATGTTCATGAAAATGATACCTTTTATTATTATTTATCCACTAAAAATGTGAATTTTACTAAAATTATTTCTTTATAACCGACATAATTTTTCGGGTATATTTTGTGGTACTTAAATATATATTTCAGTAGTACAAAATGTATTTTGTTTTTATTCATGTATACTTGATATTCATTTATTTGTTAGCGCATAGTTATATTAATTACATTAATTAAAATTGGCAACTTTGATCATTGTGTTGGAAAATTTCAATCTTAGTAACAAATGATACATAAATACTTACTTACGCCTGTTACTCCTAATGGAGAATAGGCCGTCAATCAGCATTCTTTAACGCATTCTGTACTGGAACTTCTTTTCTAGTTCCATCCAGTTGTTGTTCATTTTTCTCATGTCTATTTCCATTTCCCGGCGTAATGTGTTCTTTGGTCTTCCTCTAATCCTCCTTTGGCCTTGAAGTTTCCATGTGAGGGCTTGTCTTGTTACGCAGTTTGGTGCTTTTCTCAATGTGTCCGCCATCCACTTCCAGTGCTTCTTCCTGATTTCTCCCTCCACTGGGTTATGGTTCGCTCTCTCCCACAGTAGGTTCTTACTGATAGTGTCTGGTCAACGGATCCGAAGTATTTTGCGTAGACAATTGTTAATAAACACTTGTATTTTCTGGATGATGGCTTTCGTAGTTCTCCAGATTTCCACTCCATACAGTAGAACTGTGTTAACATTTGTATTGAGAATTGTGACCTCGGTGTTGGTTTGTGGACAATTGTTTTGAGTTCCAGATATTCTTCAATTGTAGATACGCTTCTCTTGCTTTTCCGATCCGCGTCTTCACATTTGCATCATATCCACCCTGTTCATCAATGATGCTGCCCAAATACGTAAAGAATTTTACATTTTCTTAATCTCCTCCATCAAGTGTGATTCCATTGTTGCATTTTATGTTGTATCAAAGGATCTTGCTTTTCTCCTTGTGTATGTTGAGACTTACTGCTGCTGAGGCTGCTGCCACACTGGTCGTCTTCTCCTGCATCTGTTGTTGCGTTTGGGATAGAAGGGCCAGATCATCTGCGAAGTCCAGATCGTCCAACTGCATCCTAGATGTCCATTGTATCCCTTGTTTCCCTTCAGATGTTGACGTCTTTATGATCCAGTCGATCACCAGGAGAAAGAGAAAGGGTGAGAGTAAGCAACCTTGCCTAACACCGGTCTTCACTTTGAACGACTTTGTCAACTGTCGTCCATGCACGATTTTGCAGTGTAATCCATCATATGAAATCTGTATGATATTGACTATCTTCTGAGGCATGCCGTAGTGTCGAAGAAGTTTCCATAGTGTTGTTCTGTCCACGCTGTCAAATGCCTTTTCGTAGTCAATGAAGTTGATGTAGAGTGATGAATTCCATTCAATTGATTGTTCCACAATGATCCGCAGTGTTGCGATTCGGTCTGTACACGATCTATCCTTACGGAATCCTGCCTGTTGGTCTCGAAGTTGGGCGTCTACGCAGTCCTTCATCCTGTTTAACAATACCCTGTTGAAGACTTTTCCCGGTATTGAGAGAAGAGTGATGCCCCTGTAGTTATCACAGTTGCTGAGATCGCCTTTCTTCGGAATTTTGACCAGAAGTCCATCTTTCCAGTCTGTTGGTACTTGTTCCTCATCCCAAATCTTATTGAAGAGAATGTGGAGTATCCTTGCAGTTGCCGCTACGTCTGCTTTTAGTGCCTCTGCTGGAATGTTGTCTGGTCCTGCTGCTTTGCCACTCTTGATTTGTCTGATGGCCATGCTTATCTCTTCAATTGTTCGTGGGCCAACATCGATTGGGAGGTCGATGAACAAATGTTACATGCTAATGACTTGATGGAAAATGTATTTTCATTTTACAAGTACAATGTACAGAACATATTAGCTGTATTTATTAGGTCATTTACTTAAGAAAATGTAATATAAATCAATAAAAGAGCATTCTGATTAAATTAAAGTTTTGTTTTAAATCTGTTTAATTGATGATTGAAAGATATTGATTATTGTTTATTTAGGTTCCATTGTGATGTGTGCTACTTATATCCACATAGGTAGTATATAACGCTAGTCAGGAATAGAATGTATTTTAGTAGAAGATCGAGAAGATAAGAATGGAAACCGAAAGCGATTGGTATGAAAATGCAAGAACAATAAAGTCTGAGACAATGAATTGACATTTCACAAATTAACTATTCACTGTATGATTCTCTGATTTTAGTAAGATGTTCCGTAATTTTGTATTCAAATACATTTGTTTGTCCTCATTTCTGTTCTCGTTCACTACACCATAGGTTTATAGATGTTCACTATTAACAATAAACATTTTTCAAGTGAGTTTATATCGTTTATGCCAGGTAAAGTATTTTATACTACTAACCATTTAATATATTTGACAAAATATATGTCAATCATTTGCATAGATATTCATAAGGATATGAATATAGGATTGGATATCATTTAAAAGTAGTTGATGTTACGGACAAACTTTAATTGTAAAATTATTCATAACTAATAATTCGTCAGTGATTATTTGATTGTTTATTTGTTTAACCAGATTTCAGGTATCATCTTAAGTTTCTCAAGGGTTAGCAATAATAATAATAATAACGAAGGAGCTTATCAATGAAATAACGTGACTATGAACCATTTGATATCTGCTTATATAAAAGTTTCATAAAAAAATTTTAAGAGATACCTTGAACCATAAAATTCATTATTCATCAAGTATATAACTTTCGTTTTAAAGTGGGACTAAGGAGATTTTAGTAATATAATATTCGAATTTATGAGTCAATTAAAGGTAGACTAGCATAGAAAACCTGGAAGCACTAGACAGCCGTTTCGTTCTGTTGTAGGACTTCTCAGCAGTGCGCATCCAAGATCCACCCAGTAGAATTTGAATCCAGGATCTATCGGTTTCGCGCACGAATATATGTATATATATGATGTGTGGCAAGTGAAAATGAATATGACTGACTCTAGAGCATGTACTGACGGATACAGCTGAATGACTATCTAATTCATTATTTCATTTCTATCATTGATTTCTATTCTGGACTTATTGAATACAAACCACTTATAAGCGTATTGAAAAAAGTATTCTCATCTATCCGAGTATCTGATAATAACGTGACTCAATCTCTGTATAGTATATAGATCATGTATTCACTTTAGTTTTTGATTGAAATCATGAGTCAATTGAAGATAGACCACCATGAAGAACCTGGAAGCACTGGACATCCGTTTCTCCCTAGTATGCGACTCCTCAGCAGTGGGCACCCACGAGATTTGAACTCAGGACCTATCAGTCTTGCGCCAGGCGCTTAACCAACTAGACCATTGAGCCGGCATCCAATGGTGTTAATGTCTAACCCCAACCAATCCACGAAATTGCGCGACCATCTTTCATTTTACTGAGTTAGACACCTGTTTCTACCCGACATGGATTAGTTGCACTGGTCACGACTTCTCACTAGAACTCCGAAAATTCACTGACAAAGCTAGTAAGCACTTATGAGCACATGTTAATTGAGATAAATGTTAGACCAATATTGAAAGCCTGAATGTACTGGACAGCTGTTTCGTTCTATTATAGGACTCCTCCT